TCAGAGAAAGGTGCGCCGCCTCCTATACTTTCCTCCGTTTAAACCGCTACTCTTTGCTAAAGTAGAGAAATTATATAACGTTCAAAGTTTTCCGTTGTCTGAGAAGTAGGAAGCCTACTCCAGTATTTTCACCAAAAATTATGTTTTTTAATTCACAAAAAAACTGTTCTGTAATCATTACAGAACAGTTTTTTTGTGAATTAAAAAACATAATTTTCAATGTAAAAGACTAAAAGCACAGAGTAAACAGTGTTTTAGATCAAACAATACTGCATCATCCATGGGGCTCATTTGGTTTCAATTACATCTCTATTCAGGTTGACATTGGAGAGGTGGTGCAGACTGAAGACATAGCCATCCCTCCGATCATGGTTGATCTTGCTTAGGGCCAAATGAGCAGCGGCCACAGTGTAATGTGGAATATTCGCTACCTTTAGCTCCGCAGTTAGCCGCCTTATCTGACTGTGCGAGAGGCAAGTGCGTCGTCACCGGCAAAAGGTCAAAGGTAACAATGTGATCAGAGGGCTTATTGTATTGTTTGTCTTGCCAAAAAAAAAAGATAATAATAATAATTTCAGTACATGTGTCAAATAAAAAAAAAAAATAAATAAAAGGGACCAAAAGGGCACATTGGGATCATGGAGCAAAAGGGGCAGGTGCTCAAGCCCCCTTAGCCCCCCCCCCCCCCCCCCCCCCCCCCCCCCCCCCTCTGCACGTGCCTGATGCACATATTATATAGTAGAGATGATGCGGCAGAGCCACTGATACAATGACAGCGTGCCAAAGGCAAAAAGCGTGTTGTGTTTTGCTCAGTATGTGCAGGAAGAAATATTTTATAAACATTATTTATAAAATGTGATCTAAAGAAGCTCCGTAGATCATCTCAGCATTGACTGACAGCAGCTCCCTTTAACCAAGACATGTTCATTACTTTCTCAGCACTGCAATGATTTAGGTGGCATGGTTTACGTTTTCTCTATCAAGAATCCTGGGATAATACAGTTTATTATTTTACTGGAATAAGGTAACTCCTATTTAATTTTATTGCAAATTATACATCTTATTTTATTTCCTTTTTTTTATTGCTTTAAAAGCAATACTTTACAGGTTCATATTGTTTATAGCCAATTGAAGGCTATCAATCTGCAAAAAAATAAATGCTAAAACACCTTATTTATATGATTATATAGATGTGATTATATAGATCCGAACGGGATCGGATCTAAATAATCATATCACAACTCACTTATCAAATCACACATAAAAAAAGTGCAGACTAAGTTTCAATATTTTTAGATGTGTAGACCTTTAAATTAATAACTTATTTTATTAATCAATAGCAAACACCTTATATTTTATAACTGAATGACTAGTTGTATTTGAAAGTCCATTAACAGGAAAGTGTTCCGTATTTTTTGACACTTTAGCTAATAAAAACTAAGTGCACATTTAGGTTAGTAATGAGTTACTTCACTCACTTACTTTTTTGGAGACATATCTAGTAGCAACTATTTACTTTTTTAAGTAACTTGCCCAACACTACTCAGGGATACTGCAAAATCTTTAGAGGATTGCATTTTATTTTCACCTCACCAAACAGAGAGCATTATTTTATCTTGAACATTCACATAGAAACTCACAAGTTTTTTTTTTTTTTTTTTTTTTCACAAAAAAGAGCAAATATCCACAACACATCTTTTTGCATACCCTAAAACCAAAAAAGCTTTTTGAAAGGATGTTCCATTTTCCCTTGGGGGATTTCAGATTAGGTGATGAGGGAATGCTCACAAAATAAAACACAAATATACACAAGGACCTTACCTCAAATTTGAAATTTTATAATTTTTAACTGATGCAGATTGATAAATTCAGTGTGTGTTTTTAGTTCATTTTAAAGTTCTTTTACTTGCATTTTCAAAGTGAATTAAAAATAACAGTCAAATTTATTTGACTTTTGCAAACTAAATATATGAGTTGAAACCTCCAGATGACTTTTGTCCCACAGGTCCCTACATCAGATTTTTTGCATCTCCAGTATGAGGAATTAAGCAATTTCTATTGCTCAGGAAGTTGGGCAACGTCTGTTAAATCTCAACTGTGACCAGCTGACGACATGTTGTCCTCTCACAGACTGGCTGTGTTAATGCAGGAGGCCTCTCTTAGGAGCCCTTCCTGACTAATAGAAACAGCGTGTGCACAGTCTGAACAGCAGAAATCTGATGAGCGACACAAGTAACACAAAAAGCGTGTGCTTTACAACCCCCCTCAATGTTTAGGTCCAGTCGTAAACTGAGAATTTATGACCTTCATTAGCGCAAGTACAATGCACATAAGTCTTATGTATAACAATCGGGATGACTATAAAGTAACCGTTTTATACTTTCTTAAATCTGTGACTTGCTGGTGACCCTGGTAGAAGCAGAGTTGGGCTAGGGAGATTTACAATTGCTGCATATTCCCTCTGATAGCCCTCTGTGTTTTTAGAGAGTTAAAGGTGCAAAAATGTAAAATGAATCAAATAATGCAACTATGCAGCTAGTCAGAAATATAAGTCTCTAAAGCATAATTTACAACTTGTTGCCTTAGCATTGCATTTATTCACACACACACACACACACACACACACACAAAAATCACATTGATATGTGCCTTTAGTTTTACAGCACGCGAGGGATGAATAGAGACCCACCTCTTTTTTTTTCCTGGTTGTTTCTGAATTTGAAGTCTCTCTAGGATGGTCTATTAAAATGACACATGGCATGTAAAAATAGTTCAAGCATAGCTATACAGATATAAATGATGAAGATAATACAACACTGCTCTAGAGGTTTGGGTGTGAACATTTTTTTTTTTCTTATTTTGATGAACAATGTCCTCATCTTTAGAAATAACGTCAGGATTTATCAGACCCTTTGTCTATACTCCTTCAGTAGAATATTTCTATTCTTAAAACTAACATTTAATCAATTACATGCCTTGCAAAATATTTTTCCACCTAGACATTTAGAACATTTCGTTGCTTTAAAATTACAATTATCAGTGTACCTGATTCAAATTTTAACATGATAAACTAACATAAATTTACAAATAAAAAAGAAGTGACAAGAAAATTTTACATGGTTTTCAAATTATTTTAGCTAAAAATTGAAGGGAGTTGTTTTTATTTTTTCAAAGGTTTAAACCGAAGGCAAGGCAAGTTTATTTTCTCGATAAAAATTCAATATAAAGTGCTTTACATGAATTAAACAATTAAATAAAAGGAATATAAAAGCAGAATTATACAAGAGAAGGTAAATATATGGTCAAAACAAGTAGCAAAGCAAATGCAACTGTTGGACAACAAACTTAAACCGATGAAACCTCAGGTAAGTTTATCTTTTACCCCTTTCACATTGGCTTAAAAACCTGTTTAAACTACGGAACAATCAGATTTTAGTGGCAGTGGGAATGGTTCACTGACATTTGTCGACCCCTTTGAAGCGACTCGGGTTATAATCTACTTCAAACTGCTCAGCCCCGATCGGCATACACTGGGAACATCAGACCAGGATTGAGTCGCTAATTGATGTGATGCCATTGAGCAGGACGTATGGACGTCAACACGTCGCACCAGTCGCATCTAATCTAACAAGCCAAAACAACTCTGCTTACATTGCAAAGATGACGCAGCGCTAGTGAGAGAGATTCACAAGGACAAAAAAAACAAACAATAAAGCACACCGACTACGCTCTGGTTCCCTTCTAGATTGCTCTTTATTTTTTACTTTCCTGATTTCTGTCTCACTGATGACATCATCAACGCTAACCCAGCGTGATGCCATTAGCAGAGACGCAGCAGTAAGGGGACAGAGACCTTTCAGCTTGCCAGCGGGAGGTCAGACCCAGCTTTTTTTTATGGGAAGGGAGCCAAATGCAAATTGTTAGCAGGTCAACCTGTGTTTAAAAAAATCCTTGTTAAACTGTTAATTTGAGTGGGAAAGAGGCTTTTAACAGTCAAAGGCAGTTCTAAACAAATGGTTGTTTAACTTTGACTTAAAAGCAGAGATGGGAAGTAACGAAGTACAAATACTTTGTTACTGTACTCAAGTAGATTTTTCTGATATTTTTACTTTACTACTTATTTTTATGGCGACTTTTTACTTCTACTCCTTACATTTTTACACAAATATCTGTACTTTCTACTCCTTACATTTTAAAAAATTGGCTCGTTACTTTAGTTTTGAATCATTTCAATGGAGTTACCGTTATTATTTTTCACGTCATCAATACCAAATTCAGTCTAATTGGATGGGAATCTACGTTGCATTTGACGCACCACTACAAGATGAATCGACAGATTCGGCGGTATTCATTGGCGGCAAATCATTGCAGCTTGGTGGCGGTGGCGTTAGCATAGTAGCATGGACGACGAGATGATTGAAAATGAACACAATGGAGATCTAGTCCTATTGGCAGACATCCATTTAAAATGTAGGCAACGGCATGAAAAAAGTGGTTTCTACTTTTACTTTTATACTTTTACTTTTATAAGTAAATTTACAAGCCTGTACTTTGTTACTTTTACTTGAGTAAAGAAGTTTAATCAGTACTTCCACTTTTACCAGAGTATTTTTTAACACAAGTATCTGTACTTTTACTCAAGTACGGAAAGTGAGTACTTTTGCCATCTCTGCTTAAAAGAGACTATACACATGTACATCACACTTTTCAGATTAATAGTTGTATAAACTTGTTATGTCCTGCTTCCCTATTATCCATTACTGTTGCTCTACTGCATAAAATTCGAAATCTAGACAATTTAGCAGAGCTGAAGAGTTTATTTTCTGAACTGTTTTTTTTCAGTATGAGAGAATTAATTTGTGGAAGAAGACACAATCAGGACACAATGTATCATGTTGTTGTTTTCTTGCAGGAAAAACACGGTCCGTTACCTGACTACCATCAGTGTCAAAGGGTGGCACCCACTCAGCGGGGGATCCTGAGCCGAACCCATTGATGAGGTTGACTTCTCCCTGAGTCTGAAGTGGAATGAAAAACAAATGTCATGGAGGGTGACAGAGAGCGTCTGTGTCTTATCAGCTCGGACAATGTGAGTGATGGTTCTTATCTGGCCCCCTGCTCCGTGGCTGTTTATTATCCCAAGGTGGCAGGACGGTGCTGGGAAGAGAGGAGAACTGGGAGCCCCTTCGTGATCCATCACTCCGGAGGTCTCCTTCCTCCTCTTATCTGACCGCTACATGGATAACTGCAGCTCATGTTTACAAACGCCAGCTATTTGAATGAGTAGCAGGCGTAGGAAACGGTTCTTTGGATTTCTTTATCAGTCAAGGTGAGTTATAAAGAGGATAAGGGGCAGCACATTATTTTTCTTTTACATTCCGACATTTACATGCATATACAGCGTCTATATATACACAAACTTAAAAAAGCAGGGTTGTACATGTACACTCATAGACACTGCTATGAACATACACTGACAATGGGCATGTTCAATAACAAAAAGTCTTCTCTTGAAGTTTGTATTCTTTCAAGCTGAAACTTGAATGAAGACAAAAGATTAAATGGTAAATGGAAGGCAGCGGGGCACACAGGGAGGATAATCTTGTCTGTCGCTCGATTTATCTCTTCTCCTGAAGTACATTCATTTCTCTTATCATGTTTTTATTTTCTCGCTTATCTGAGTCAGCATGTGTTGTCAGTGTGTACAAGTGTGAGCGATGATGTGAGTAAAACGAAACTATCAGTGCCCATGGAGGCCATTGAGTACTCTTTTGACGTTGGTGCATTTTACAGCATCATATCCTGAATTGGAAGTGTCGTGCTATATTTTGCTGGTGTTTTTGAAAGGAAACCCTCAATAAAGAGAGCATTTTTTTCTACGTGTTCCATTTCCTTTCACCAACTATTCTGGGGTATTTCTGTATCTCCCCTGGTAGGGCAGAATGCCTAGGTTTCCATTTCAAATGGGGCCCTCATGTCCATCACATCAACAGGGGTCTCTCCTAAAATACATACCTTCTGTCAAAGCTAGAGGATCGATGATGGTTAGAATGAGTAAGCGGTGCTTAGGCTACCAGGTGCCCTTTTCTTCAGGTTTTAGTGATGGGCAGGTCTTCCTCTGTACTCCATGTCACCTCTTATTGAGGTTGAAGACTAGGTTGTACCAAAGCAAAGATAGATACCCAAAATGAACACAGACAAACTGCTTCTACACCGGTCCACTAACAGAATTGCACTCGTTTTAGCATTACAGGGCTAGACAAAGGATACTACTTGCGAAATACAAAAAGAAAATCTAAGCATCAACTGTAAGGATGGTATGGGAATTGCCATTTATAAGAAGTGCCAGTGTAATGTAGCTTGTGAGTGCTGAAAAAGGGAATGGAAACAAAGTTATGCATTATCTTTATAGAGATGTTTAAAAGACCTTGAGGGCTTTGCAGAATGGCAACCTGTTGGAGGAGGATGACAAAAGCTATTAATAACCAGTGACTGCACTAAATAGAAATACAGAAAAGGCTCAAAAACAGACTTAAGCTATACAACCTAAGACTTGTAGCTTCTTAAGCAATAATTTTTGTTATCAGGACTTTGTTTATCACATTCTCTTCACTTGTTTCTCTAAACTGTTTCTGCTGCCTATTAGGTGCACATTTTAACATATTAGTCACAGAGATATGGTAACAATAGGTGTTGTTACTTGCCTTTTTGTCCAGCATTTAGAGTGTTAGACCATTACTTGGAACAAATTTTACGCTACATTCAGCTCTGCTTAAGTTTTTTCTAATTTTGCTGAATGACAGTTTCGAGTAAATCTACACAGATCAAACTGAATCAACAGGCAAACTTAATTCTCTCAACATCCCTATATTTTCAGATACACATTAAATTATGCAGTGTTAAATTTACTCTTTAAGAGTGTAATTTAACACCAATCCGAGTGCATTGGTCCAGGTATGAGTTTGTGTTAAATTCTCTACATAGTTACTCCATTTGTAATGACTTTAAAAGAGTCAATGTATTTGACATTACATATTTAACACTGTGGAATTTACTGTTTATGATAAACTTTGGGTTATTGAATGCCTTGCTTTACTAATAAATATCTAGCACATTCATACATGTGTGGAGATAATAATTTAGGGTGAAGCAAGTATTTAAATCAAATGCACACTGGATGCACCAAAAAGTAGCTTCTCTGTATAAATTTCGATACTCACTTTTTTTACTGTCTTGGAGCTGTTGGTTGGTTAACAAGATACAGAAAAAGCTTTAGATGGTAAACATTAAGATTGCTCTGAAATGTTTACCACAGCTGTCTCATCCCAACTTTTAGCTAGTTCAGGTAACCGAGTGGTAGTACTTTGAGCTCCTGTTTGATGCTGCAGTGACTATAGTGTTTTGTTAGAATATGGATAAAACTGCAAGTACCAGTTTAGAAAATCTAATATTAATTGCATGCAAATTTTTCAAATTTTAATGTTAACTGAGATATTGATTTCAAACACTTGCCACAGTTTACACTCATGTTTAAGCAGAGCTGTTTCACTTTTCTTGAACATAAAAAAAATATATTTATTCTCCCAGGCTGGCTTTTCATGTAAACCTTATTTACTGGATGGAGAACAATATTGTTGGTGTCTTTTTTTGGAGTCCAAAAATAAACACCAACAACTCCACTTTTATACAACTTCTTCTTCATGGTAATTTTTGCTTATAATAATACTGCAGGCTAACCCCTAAAAAAGAAAGCTTTTTAAAAAATATTCCTTTTCTGGTTGATAAAAAATTAATTGTCAAATTGTTATTTTAACTTTTCCTTTTTATGGGTTCAGTGCAACTTAATAATGAAAGCAACTATCCAAGTACAAAACTCTAATGCTCTACTACTACTTTTGTGTTCTTATTGGAGTTTTGGCCTAATGGTTAGAGCAGTGCGCTTATGCTCTGAGAAGGTTGCAGATTCCCGATTTGATCCCCACAGCCTGCACTCTGGGTCCCTGAGCAAGACCCTTAACCCCACACTGCTCCCTGGGCGCCACACAATGGCAGGACACTGCTCCCCAACGGGATAGGTTAAATGCAGAGGTAAATGTATCCAATGTGAGATCAGTAAAGTTCAATTATCATTATTAACACTATCCACAGGTCTGAAGGTGTAGCACAGTTTATATTAGGCTCATTTAAAAGCCCAAGTGTCTTTCACAATGATGGGAAAAGCAGGCTGACAAATTCTTGAGGATTCCTTGTATTATGTTATTATGTCCAAACTAACACTGAGAGACTCCTTAAACTAGGCTTTACTACAGCATCAGTGGAAAAAATAAAGTAATAATATGATAATATGATTATTGTGATATATCATTTAAAAGAATCCAAATGTTTGCAAAACTCAGCCATTTAATTATACATTTTAATTAGTCCGTGACTTATAAATAAGGTAAAAGCGGCATTTATAAACAGGCTACCTCAACTTAATAGTACTCAATTAATCATTGGCTGGGCCAAGTTGGAGCCAAAATAATGACAATTTAATAACTCAGTGTTTATAGCCGTGCAGATTACCAAGTATTTATAAATGTCACTGGCAGTTCTGTAATGCACATTGACAGGGAAACATGTGCAGGGCTAAGCAGTGTCTGCTCCCATGCAATGCAACAAATGTACCATCCCCATAGCAAAGCGGCTATGAATAACTGTGATAATCACTTCACAATGGGTTCATTTATCAATGTATGAAGAGCACAACTGCAGCGATGATTACCCTTGCTTTGTGTTTTCTGTTATGCAAGTTTGTTTTACTAAACTACTAAAAAGACAGAGATCTCTGCCTAATTTGTTAGTAGGAGACTCAGAATGTATCTCCTGTGTACTCTATTACTTTTTTTGTACCACACGGACAAACTAAGCCAAACTAAAATTAAGACTTTAGTTGAACATTCCAAAAACAATAACCCCTGCAGAGATCTGACCGTTGAACTACAGCTCCATCTAAAAGGAATTTAATCTAAAATAAAAAGAATAATTTGTAAAACTTCTATGATTGGTGCCAAAGGGCCCTAGTTCTGTTTCTTTGGCAGTTTATCATGCATGTATAATTAATGTAATTTCTTCTACACATTTTATAAGAAAAGCATCCTTGCTGCTGTCGAAAGGATTTATATTGTAAATAGCAGGCAAATTTTTGCCCCCCACCCCCTTCCACAATCCCGCCACATCGTCTCCTTAATATGAGCATGTAAATTTGTACTCCTTCACGCAGAAGTGACCCTTGGAAATTGGGTGAACCCTACTAAATCTCATGGAATTTTCAATTAATCACAGTTGTTATATCCGGCCCTTATTACGTTGCACCATCACTATATATATATATATATATATATGTGTGTGTGTGTGTGTGTCTGTCTCTATGTGTGGTGTGTCCTTCTTGGGGTTCCATGGTGTTCCAAATATGATCTTTTATGAAACTGATATGAGTCAGGTAGGGGTGTTCTTTACTGGCATGGTAACATTCCAGTAAGTGGTTCAGATGAGGTGGCTGGAGGGATGCTACATCCTCAAATGGGGCTTGGGTCTGGTTTCCTGATCTGTTTAAACTTTAGCTTTATTGTAGATTGCAAAATATCATGAATACATATGTGAGTTTTTCCAATGACTGGTGACTGATTAAACTTTATATCTAACAGGTAGTGGGTTATTCCTTGATCACCAAAAATTGTTTTCCATAATTTCTGTATAAAAAAAGAATTACAAAACTATCCAACCTGTTTTTGTTCCTTTTTTATTGTTTAACCTCTCTCTTTTCATCTTATATTCTTTTCATATTCTGAAGTAAGGACAAGTACTTAATATGCTTGTCCTTACTTTATAATATTCTGAAAGTTTGATTTAAACTGGTATTAAGGCCTCAAAATAAATCATGATTATCCACTTCTTACTTTTATTGTATATTTAATGCTTTGGAACATCAAGCTATATAAAAGTAAAAACAAATATCTGATTATGGAAGATTCCAGTTTTTATGGAGGGTGTGTCCAGAGTTTGTCTGAGTCTGTGTGGTCAGCTGGGTGACAAAAAGCTTCCCGTCATTGTCAACGTTAGAAGACGTCATCACAAGGTTTTTAATATGTACTTAGCATTTGGTGGATGAATACAATAGTAACCTGCACTAAGAATAGCTTTGGTTTTTGGAAAATTATGCCTCCCATCCTGAGAGGAAAATTCACCCTAATTAAGTTGATGCTCTTTTATTTGATATAAAATAGTTTACAGGTAATTTTCCAAGTAATCATCAAATCTGTATTCGTCAGGCATGTGAACTGTGGGCAA